GGAACGGATTAACCGGATTTACATTGAACCCTATGGGGAAATTTGCATCGGGTTACGACCAACTCGGGATACGCCCAGAGTCATGAAACGCATTAAGTTCGTATCCCGAGGTACCACTGTATATTAAATTGATTTATATGGCTACCCATCTCACAAATGTGACCCTGGGTGGCTAACAACACATTAAAACAAAAAAAACAACTTTAGTGAAATTAAAAAAAAAAAACACAACCATGCTAAGAAACTTGGGGAGGGATCAAGCAGAGAAGATGCTCTCTTAACCTTGCCCTAGCAGTAAGTTCAATCCCACCCCCACCCGGTCCCAGCCAGCCCCTCCCTAGCCACTCACATCCTTGAGGCATCCCATAAAATTGTTACTGACGGGAGACCCAGGGAGGTCAGCCGTGTTGGGACTCCCTCCGATATAGAAGAAGTCGTCCGAACCCAGCATGGTGTAGTCCTCTTGGGTGTATCCGGTTGTGGTCAGGATTCCGTCCACGGAGATAGTCACCTGTCCGTCGTGAGTGCAGGGATTGCGGGAGGGGGGTGTGGGGGGGAGACAAGGAGACAACAGAGTGTTAACCAACCACAGGACTGATGGGAGGAAGGGGAGGCTTGGAAACTGGGGGTGCCAACTTATTTTCCGGTCTGGTTGTCTCTTCGGAGAAATGCCTCGATTTTTTTTCCCCTCAGGCAGGATGTTATAGGAAGGGGGGGTGGGAGGAAGGACAGACGGGCAGACCAACTGGCCAGGGGAGAACATCTGCACAAGGCTTGATGGTCCAGAAGGGGAACTGGGGCACTATGACTACCCATCCCCTATGCAGCCCCCCCAGCGCTCCAACCTGGACTTTCCCAACGCCTGACGCTCCAGTGAGTTGCCAGCCGGCTCTGCCAACCAAGGGTCGCCCCTTTCAGTTGCTGTTTGGGGAGAAGCGTCCAGAACTGGAGGAAACTGGAGAAGAAAGGCATCGGAATCGGGGGAGCAGGTGCAACACGGAAGGGGGGGGCACTTATACCTGCTTTGGCAGAAGAAGAGTGGCTTTGCTCAGCTGGAGCGCTGGACGTTCCCGGGTTCTCTGCTGTCGACGTCCTTTGTGCACAAAGAGGCTCGAACGCTCTTTTAGCGGCTGGGTTCACGCAGCACGCTAGGCTCCGCTCAATGCTCAGTTCATCTGAACCTCAGCATCTTGCGGGAACCCAGCCCTCACTTTCATCTGTCTACAGCAGCCCCATCACTTGTTTGGGCATCAGATGTTTCGCAAACACAGGAGCTGCCATTTGTTAACCCAGGTTTAGGGTTGGGGGTGGAAATCCCAGTCCCCAGGTATCCTGCATCCCCACCCTGTGCTCATCCCTTTGCCTGTGTTTTCTTTGTCATCTTCTTCTTTGTCGACCACTAGAGTGACTGCAACAGAGGACAAGTGTCAGCCATGATTGTAAAGCAAAGAATGTGGTCTCCTGTGAGCACGGCGCTGTGGGAAATTGCTAGCCTCTGTATCTACCAAACTTTCAAAAAAGACTTTGCAAAGAGGCCAAGCACCAGACTTCCGCATCATGGTTTATTTCCAGAGCTGGGCCCCAGAAGCCATTTTAGAAAATAAAAATGATGGGTGGCTGCGTTATTTGGTGGGGGGCAATGTGCCTGACTGCCCAGGAGAAAAAGAGGTCAGCTGGACTGCAGGGAGCATCCTTGGGGGGCTAGAAGAAATGGTGGGGAACAGCCACATCAATTCACTTTCTCAAAAAGGAGGATCGAATGCCGGGCCTCCTCCACTATGGCAGCCATTTTGTGAAGGCACTCACGGCAAGTTTTTAAAATTCCAAGATTGGCCACCAATTTAAAGGTAGCTTCCTAGAGAGTCCTACTTTCAGACCCCCTTCATGGCTTCAGAGGATTTTGAATGTTGACAACCCCCATGTACTTATTCTTTGACCGTTATTGTGCTGAATTTTTATTCTGTTTGGTGTTATTGGACACTGCCAAGTTGGACACGGCTTGGAGTTGAGTGGTGCCTAAATTGAACAAATTAAATATAAATGTGCATGTGTTGGAGCCAAGGGAAATGGTCAAGTACATTATCTTCAGATAACATCCATCCATCCATCCATCCATCCATCCATCCATCCATCCATCCATCCATCCATCCATCATCTATTACAGTGTTTCTCAACCTTGGCCACTTGAAGATGGGTAGACTTGAAGATGGGCGCTGGCTGGGGAATTCTGGGAGTTG